TCCAAAATAAATTTTTTTTAATCCTTTTGTAATTAAATTTCTACCTTCCCTAAAAGTCCAGTTTTCTCCCTCTTACTTTTTCTCCTTTCTTGAAGAACATCGAGGAAAGGACCATCCTAGAACAGTTGTTTATTAAAGTTTTTAAATGTAAGAATTAACACTTCTTTGGAAATAGAAAGATTCAACAAAATCATCTGTATGTGAAATCATGAAAATATGGCAGGTCTTTCAATTGAACAGGTGTTTGCACTCATTTCCTTTTTTAAAATTTTTTTTTTTTAGAAGAAAAAAGGGTAACACATAAAATGCATTTGTGCATATATTTTTATATATCCTCACTTTTTGTCTAATCTGTGCAACTAACATATTACCTCTAGTTCCATAACACAACTAATGATACTCCAATCATTTACGTAAAAATTTGGCCAGCTAGCTGGTGTGTTTTTGCTGAACCTTTCATTTATTCTAGCATGAAGTTTTTTTAAATGACAGCTGCTAGTATCTAGAAAACATAAACCTTCACAATGCCCATAAGAAGTCTAAAGGCATGATATAAGGGGAAGTGTTGGGTTATTTGATGGAGCCATCACAGCCATTTCATACGCCAAGGGAACTGCTGTTAGGATAATTACGGACACCTTGTAAAATATCAGTGCCTTATGGAAAATAACATTACATAAAATGAAGAATTTTTTTGGATAAAATAGGGTGATTTTCCCTTGAGTCTTCCAAATTTGCCAGTCAGCTTGTTTAAAAGTCTACTACATTTGTTCCTTATTGACAATCATTTGGGCCCAAGGGCTGATGTGGACCCTATTGGGTTGAGGGGGCGGGCGAGGGGTTTTTTTGTTTTAAGTGGATATAGATTTGTTGTAGTTGATGATTCTACTGGAGTGTTAAGGTATTCTGTAATGCATTTCTGGTCTTTTTTCCCTTTGGGCAGTATTGATGTCTTTTGACATTCTTTCACCAGACCACACACAAGTGCTTTTTTTTCTTCATTGTCTTGAATTATGTGATGGTAGATTCTCTGACTAGAAATGTGTGCAGTCGTCATTACACTGCTCCCCAAATCTAAAATTAACACCTTCCTCAATGCCATCAGAGATTCACACTTCTTATTGGCACCTGCAGCATCACTTGAATTCTTCTTGGGTGGGTATAGTTAATATGGTATTCAGAGATGAGATATGATGATGAAAATATCCAAAATCATTGGATAGATACACAGCAAGGTACATGACACTCCCAGAAAGTAATTGTAAACAGTTTATTTAGGTGGTAGTGCCTCTCGGAACACACAACCCTAAGGAACAACTTGGGTTGTGGACTACAAGATTTTGCACCTAACTTGATGTTTCCATGCTTACCAAGTATGCTATCAAGAGTTTTTCAGGTGTTATGTAAGAACAGCATGCACTTTTTCAATCACGTTTAAAAAAAAAATTGCTATGTTATACAGTAGTATCACTTTGTAATTGGGTTTACTGTAATTAAATTTACAAATTAAACAGGTCTGCTTGTTTACGAGAGCCTTCTAACAGTGAACTCCTAAAAATAAATTTTTTATGTGTTATAAAAAAGTCATGGTGGTTTGGTGCCAGTAGAGATAGGTCATACTTAATAATGATCACTCACTTTCTAACATACATTTTTACGCCTTTGTGTAAAAGTTTTTCTGTATCTTCTGCATGTTCGTGAGGATTCTGATTTAGAAATTGATCTTTTTTTTTTATCTTTGGGCAGGTCTTATCTTGTTTCTGTTGATGACAGAATCACTTGCTCCATTACCTGAACAAAGTTTTTTTTTTTTGTAACTGTGCAAATGGAATACTGTACCTCACCTGTTGAGAATAATTATGAATTGCATTTCTAGTACTATGACAACTCTGTTTTTAAGATTAGTCATTTCAGCACAGAAGATTTTGTTTTATAGTAATATTCTTTTAGGCTTCACCACCACCAACCACCAAATCACTTTACCATTCCCCAACCACCTCCTTGTTGCAAGGTCACCTTACTAGTGATAGTGAGGTTTGAGTGACCTTGCTACACATTGTGTTATCTCAATTTTACTAATTTTTGAAAAATAAAAAAATTGTTTTTAAATGCAAAAATAGATAATTGTTAGTGGTTGCTCTTCCTGTAAGTGGTTCAGTGAATCCTCACAGAAAATGGTTTTCATACTTTTAAAACTGAATAATATGGAAGTGACTTAGTTTTCTAACTTAAATTATATTACAGAAAAAAGAATAAATATGCTATTTTATACACTTCTTATATTAAAATATCAATAACACCTGTAGTTAATCCTAGATTTCAAAATATATTCATTCAATACTAATTGATTTTAGTCAAGTTATTGTTTTAACTATCCATTTGGTGATAAACTTGTGATGAACTAAATAAATTATCAGCTTGTTGCATACTTTCCTCAGGTAAACATTAAGTATTGCCTGAAGATTCTTCCCTCTCATCTTCCTTTCCCTTGCCTTCCTTCTTAAAGAAATGTTGACTAAAGTTTTGCAAATTTGGATATGACAGTTTCTAATTATGCACCAAAACTATCCTAGTAACCTTACCAATATTATACATAATATAAAATAGCTTAATTTAACCCTTTCAGGGCCATGCCGTAGATCTACGCCATGAGCTCAGCTCACTCTGATAAGCTGTGAGCGGTAAATTTGGGCCTAGATATGAGAGAATACTTCTATATGGTATGTGTGCACCACGTCAAACAAATCCTGCAGCACATAGTGCATAATGAGAGAAAAAATGAGACCGTAATTTTTATTAAAACATCGACTTTGCAGTGTTTTTCGTAGTTTTTTATAGTTGTAATTTGCGATTTCTTGGTCCTCATTTGATAGAATGGAAGATATATTACAGAAATAGAGATGATTTTTGATTGGTTTTTAATGGAAATGGCTTGAAACTGAGCTCAAAATAGCAGAAATGTTAAATTTTTGCCGATGTTCAAGAGTAAACAAATGATCTCGCATGTCTAATACACGCCAGCTGGTGGTCTAATATACGTTCACAAATGTGGTGATATTATTTATACAATTATTACAATATTGCATAACAGTAAATCTTCTGTTTTTTGGAATTCATTTGTAAAGCCTGAAAATGTAACTAATGAACAGAGGAAATGTTAGTTTAGTGCCAGGAATGCCTGCATTGTTTATTCTGGACCCTATTTTGAACTTTGCATAAAATTGGCCAAATTACCAATTTCCAATCACTTTATTTGTAGTTGAAAACAGTTGACCTGGCAATTTCTTGTGCTCAGTCAATAGAATAGAAGGAATACTAGTGAAATAGCTAAGAATTTGGTCCGACTGGAATAATGTACACCTACCATCTGACTTACGACCTAGTTCGGTTCCAAAAAAACGGTCGTAAGTCGAAATGGTCGTAAGTCAAACTTTACTACTGAATATCAACAAAACATTTTATTGTTTTATTTTGGTATTTCATGTTTTACTTTACTTTTTATGTTGTTAGTACTGTATTTTATACTGTAAGGTTTAGGATAAACACTGTGTACAACACAAATAGTTGTTTATTTCCCAGAAATTTGGCATAAAAAAACACGGTCGTAAGTCAAGTTGTCATAAGTTGAGCAGGTCGTAAGTCGGATGGTAGGTGTATTTGGCTTAAAATGGGAGTCAAAGTCAGCAAAATCGCCAATGCGTAAGTATCGCTGGCACATCAAAATTCACGAGGGCATAATTTCGTCAATTTTCCATCAAATTTCATACTTTTTGTTTTATTACCTTCAGAAAAAGATTCTCTACCATTTCAAAACAAAAAATAACAAAATTATTTTTTGAAAACTTCTTGGACCCTGGTGTGCACTTTGAATTTGGCCTCTGGACCCTGAAAGGGTTAAC